TCTCTCTCTCTCTCTCTCTCTCTCTCTCTCTCTCTCTCTCTCACACACACACACACACACACACACACACACACACACACACACACACAAAGGGGGTCCGAAATCCCCGACAGGTGAGTGCGCTGGGGGGGCCCGGCCCCCAACCGGGTGCCCTGCCCGGCCAGGCCGCACGGGACCTTCCCTGGGCCCCTGCCGGTCACCCGGGCGGCCCGGATGCCCACTCAGAATAATAATAATAATAATAATAATAAAATTTGTAAACATATACTGAAAAATAATCTTATTTTTTATTTTTTATTTGGTAAAGAATTTCTTCCTTTTGTTGGAAGAAGATCGATCTTTTTATTAATATCAAAGCCGGGAAGCGGGCCCGGCGTCCCTTACAAAAGTCGCCACAGCTCTGATCTGAGCGAGGTTCGGCATCCCTTTCAAGCTCATGCCCCAACTGTTTCAAGGACACAAATCCTTTTTCTCATCTTCTCTTTCACCAATTCTACAATTTATTCTTTGGTGAATAATTTCGATGTGACCCTGTGGCAAAAGACTAAAAGTTGTTCAGTTTATTTTTCCGCATAACGTACTTTTTTTTTCGATTTGTTTTTTTCCTGTTGCTGGGACCTTCGTTGGCCGTGGGAAATCAAGGTGACCCGGGCAATTTTTTCACAGCCGGGCAGCACGGGGCTGGCAGCGTAGACCGCTACCGAAACGAACTTCGAGGTGAGCCGAAGGCAGAAAAAAAAAAAAAAAAAAGGCAGAGAGGGAGACAAGGACAATAAGCAAGGAGTGTGTCAGACTGTTTCGTCGAAGGTGCACCGATGCGTCCGGAGGTACATAATATTTTCACTGTTTTTGTAATCTCCAAAATTCCAAATTTATTACGAAACTTTGGATGCCCCTCACCCAAAATGAAAAAGCAAAGTCATTCACATACAACTGTGCGGTGTGTGGTGTGCTGCCGATGTATATTTGTGGCGCCCTCGACGCAGATTCTGGTGGCAGGTAAGAAATGAAAAGCCCCACAACGTGTGCAGTAAGAAGATTCCTTTTCTTTTTCTTTTTCTTTTTTTCACAAGGATTCATTTTGCATATTTGGTGAGTGATGGAGTGACAAAAAAAGAAAGAAAAAGAAAA